TATGACTCACCCCCAGCCGTTCCACCAGCATCTCCAGTTCATCTTGAAGTTGTTTGTCCTCCTCAGACTGGAGGGTTGGGGGAAGAAGCTCGTCAAGAGAAGGATCCCACTCATATCCTCCTCCCATTCACACCGGGGCAGGTGGAGGGCGCCAGCCTTCTAGGAGGGGCCAGGTGGACAAGAAGAGGGGGCGGGAATGGGAAGCCCTGTGGGGAAGGCAGTTTCTGACCCAGGCTTCGCTGATTCTCGCTCTTGGAAAGGAGCATGACTAGGACTCCGATACCATCTCTTAAGGCGGTGGTGAAGGTGATAGCGCGGAACGGGAGGAGTGGGGGCAGAGAGGCAGGATGCTAAGGGGAGGCAGAGTGCTAGGAGCCCGGGGGAGTGGGGAGGGGTCTCCCCATCCACCCTCTCCCGCACGCTGCAGGGCCCTTGCGAGTAGGGCCCAAGGCCTCCGAGACCGCAGTGACTCAGCCCCGAGGCCTCCTCCGCCGGGTCCCGGGTCCGCGCCTCACCAGCTCCTGCTCTTTGTCCTTGTCTCCCGCATCCCGCCGCTCCTTGCCGCTCGACTTGTCGTCCGTGCCGCCGGGGGCTGTCCCTGGGGGTTGCTGAGGCTGAACCGGCGCCTTGTCCCGGCCACCCTCCTCCATCTCCGCCACCACTGCCGGACCGCTGCGCGCACGCCTGCTGGCCCCACCCCTCCTCCCAGAGGGCCTCGCGCGAGCTGTCGGAGCGCCCCGCCTCCTTGAGACCCCGCCCACGACCGAAAACATTAGTTGTCCCGCCCTTCGACCCGCCCCCAGATGCCATCCGGGAACTATGATTCCCAGCCTCCCACGCGCCACAGGCTCCGCCCAGTCTGACGTCACCTGGACGTTCGGCGTGGAGATTGGGCTGCTGAAGGTACTGAGTGTAGGTTTCCTACCAATGTGAATAGAACCGACTATGGCACCTCAGTTAGTTGAGTGTGGTGGGACAGACAGGACTTTTTTTTTGAGACAGGGACTCGTTGGCCTTGAACTTGTAGCCCAGGCTGGCCTCGTATTCACGGCGATCCTCCTGCCTCATCCTCCCCTGTGCTGGGATTACAGGCGTGCGCCTCCCTCTCGGCTGACAGACAAGATTCTTGAAATCCGGAACGCTGGGATGCAGACTATGAGAAACCTGCGTGATCTGTTTCGCACTTTTCCCCTCAGTTGAACAAGAAAGAGTTCCCTGATATTACCGTAAGGGTATTGCTACTACCTTAATTCCTTTTAGGAGCCAGCTGGAGTAGAAGTCGTTAAAGTAAGTGATGTGTCCAGTGCCAAATTCTGGAGCTAAAGACAGGCTATGGCAACTTTGTCTTGCCCTTACCCTTTGGTCTTTTTTCGCGTTATGACTTAGAAGGGGCGGAACTGAAAAGCTTTATGTCAGGACTACAAGGGGGAAGGGGGTGAGTGAATCCAGGTCCTGACCTGTCATGTGCCCTGGAATCGAGATTTGAACCTTAGATTTTCAGCCTTCCATGGCCTTAACTGTTTCAGGCAAACTCCCAAGGTTTCTTTAGCTTGGGCTGTGGGTGGGTTGGTGTGGGTGTGTGTCTAGAAGGTGAGGAAAAAGGAAGTAATTCTTTTTCCCTTTTCCCTAGTGGAACACTCACCATTTTGCCTGCACTCTTATTTTGAGTTCTGACACATTAAAGAATGCAAAAAGTGTTTTTTTCTCTTCTGAATGTTGGCTAAATGTTTTATGGATGTAGATGTAAAGTTTGAAGCCCATTTTTTAAAAAACTTGTTCTTTTCCATTCAAGGCTTGGACTCTAGCCATAACCCTGCATTTCCTTGGCAATGACTGTCCCAGCCCAGGTCTGTGGACAGACGATGGACAGTTCATAGGTGTTCTGCTTTTTCTGTGTCTATCTTTAGGATGTCCATACATCTTTATGCTTTCTCTAGCCATCTATACAGATTTCTCCTAAATCTCTTCTTTTTCCCCTGACCTCCTTCTATCAGATCTTAGATTTTCTGGTATGCCCCAGTCATATCCCAGCTAGCACCTTGGAGGCTAGGCATAGTGGTGCACACCTGTAATCCCAGCACTCGGAAGGCTGAGGCAGGAGGATCACTTCGAGTTCGAGACCAGCCTGAACTACAAAGTGAGACCCTGTCTCAAAAATAAAAAAAAAAACAAGCAAAAACAGGACTTGGAGATGAGGTGGACTCTGTGGCATAAAGCACAGCCCATTAACTAGCTGGTGACTCCAGAGGAAAAGGAGTTGTCATCCTGTTTTTCAACTTTGTGGTTGTTTTAAATTTTCCAAAATAAAAAGTTGGGAGAGTAGGAGAATGCAAACTTTAAAAACACCAATTAGTGTTTAAACCAGCTGTGACACCTAGGTAAGCTACCTAATCTTTCAGCCTGGCTTCTGCCAATGTAAAATGTAATAAAGTGCATCTTTGCTAAGTTATTTCGAAAACAAAATGAGGCAATGTATAAACAACGTAGACAATATATAGGCAGCGTATACAGAGTGCCTCACTAGATGCCTTGCAATTAGAAAGGAGGTAATTCATTTTACTTTCCAAATACTTTGAATCTAGCAGGCTGAGTAAAATGCCTGCCCATATCCCGTTCTCACCACCTCCAAGCACTCAAACTTCCAAGCCTCTCATCAAGTGCAAATGGGCATGGCAGTACACGCCTGGGCACACCCCTATAATCCCAGCACTCAGGAGGCTGAAGCAGGAGGATCACCTTGAGTTGGAGGTGGCCAGCCAGGCTACACAGTGAGTTCAAGGCCAGGCTGAAACGCATAGCAAGAACCTGTCTCAAAAAAAGAAAGAAAGAAGGGGGGGGGGAGAGGAAGGAAGGAAGGAGAGAGAGAGAGAAAGAAAGAGAAAGAAAGAAGGAGAGAGAGCAAGCAAGCAAATGTCTGGCAGTTATTTTCAGGGGCCCTTGATAATACCCATTCCCTGCTTCAATCTTCATTTCAGTCAGACTGCTATGCCAGGAACTTCCTACCATTTGGCCAAACTCCCAATTTTGTGACTCCAAACTGTTCTCCAATCAGGTGCCAACCCATGACTTGTCCTTTCCTAGGTCCTTCAAACCACACCCCTCAGCCTGCCGTGCTGCTGCTCCCCAAATGCCACAGCCTGGGATGTAGAACTGTGCATTTTACGGATGCTGCTACTCATCTTAGAGCCATTCAGCCCAAAGCCATTGCTCACGTAATACCACATGTCCACTGCTAGACACAGCATCACACGGACTCCACTGGGTTGCCGTTTTCTTTGAACAGGATTCTCCAAGCAGCCAGATTGCTACCCTCCTTTTATACCTGTTACCACTGCCCTCCTCCAGACTCTTCCCCCGTAATGTCCCCCTCATTTACCACTCTTCTGATCACCCTAAACACTTTGGATTTCTAAACATGGCCTGCCCTTCAAGCCTTTCACCTCGCTATTCCTTCTGAGTGGAATGCCCCTTACTGTTTCCAGCTGGTAAATTCTCAGATCCTCTTGGACCCTTATGCTGCCGTACTTCCAGTTGTTTCTTCCCTGTGTACCCATCCCTCTCCTGCTTTATATTCTGAGCTCCTGGAGACAAGGAAGTTACCTTTCTTTTGTGCCTGTAGTACCTAGCCTAATGCCTGGCTTGTGGTAGGCCTTCATAAAGACTTACTAGATGAATGAATAAATAGCCTTGTATTCTTCAGTCATCTTTGTGTTCAATAATGGCCCTTTGGGGGCTTTCTCTGGAGCCCAGAGCTGGGAATTGGAAAACTGTCAGGATTCCTCATATGTGATCTATAATAGGCCCATTGAAGCTGTTCATTTTTCTGAGGGACTCTTCCGGCCTGACTTTTCTTAATTGCTACCAAGGGTAAAATCCTATTTCTTGGCATGTTACCTTCTTAAGGATGGGAACTGGACCTCCCAGTTGGACAGCATAGGAGGTGGCCCAGCACTTCAGCAATAATTGCTGCCATGTGTCTATCCAGAAGCAGTCCTTTATTTCCCTTCCCCTCAGCACAACACATCACAGATGCACAGCACAGCCCGAGGGGGCTATGGCAATAGAAGTCACACCTGTCACAGGATGTTCACCTCACCTGGCCTCTGGAACCAAGCACATGCAGGGTGCTGGGCACACAGATGCTGCCTGGCTTCGCTTCAGCTCAGTGTGTGTCTAGGCTTCCTGCTGTCACCAGTGCCTGGCCCGGGGAAGCATGGAAATGCACCCACTGCTGGTCCCGCTCGGAAACATGATGAATGCCCAGAGGACAGACGTCTGTGTTAGTCTATTCTGTCTTTGTGACGTTGAGGATGAACTGGTAGTGATTAAGAGAATCTGAGCTCTACCCCTGACTTTAACGCAATCTTCTAGGTGAGCTCATGAAGATAAAAATGAAACAGAACAGTCACCTAAGGGAAGAAACCATCTCATTCATCTTTGTATCCCCAGTGCCTGACATATTGCTGGTGACAGATGTCTATTTAAAAAAGTAAACCTATAAATGTATGCGTTAATAGATGGGTGAATGAGTAAGGAAACTAGCCACCTAGCACAGTGCCTGGAACCCAAGAGGTACTGGATAAATGGTTCCTCTCCCTCCCCCCACCCCTCCCTCTCCCCCTCCTCCTCCTAGTTTGCAGTCTGCGCATGGCAGCTGGTAGGCCTTGATCACTGTGGGTGGGATGCCTGGCTCTCAGGAGCTCTGAGCCTTTGAGGTCACTGCTTGCTCTCTCAGCAACAAGTAGAGGCTAGGGCTCCCTCAGACAGGGCTTCCCATCTGTCTTCCTAACTGCCTTGACCCTGATGTTACCCAGACTCAGTGGCAGAACAGCTGCATTCTGTTCCACATTGCCTCTGTCTTCTCAGGGATTCAAATCTCAGTCCCCTGTCTCTGGTGAGTGAGTGAGTGAGTGTCTAGTAGAATGCCTGGCACATAGAGGTTACCCAGTAAATATTAGTGGAATGGGAAAATGAATAAATGAAAACAGAACCAAAGGAAGAGACAGGCTGACTGATGCGGGTCTATTTATTGGCATAGGGTCCCACATGGCCAAGACCACACACTCCCCACCCTCTTCCCTGTAAAAATAAACTCTGTCCTTCCCTCTCCCTGCTCCATCTGCTTGGTCCAGGGAGGATCAGTCACCCCTGAGACTCATGCCCTGAAAGAGGAACCAACAGCGCTACACATACCCGCTTCCCCTCTCAGCCCAGGGACCAGCAGGAAAGCTATGGCTTCCACTGAGCTGCATCATGGGTCTGTGTGTGAGGGCGGGCAGCAGTGCGTGGTGGCAGCACAAGGTCATGGGGCTGATGGGAGCTGAGCCCACTCCCATGTGGGTACTGAGCGAGTGGGAGGAGCCAGGGAGGCAAGACCCAGCCCTGCGTGCTCAGAGCAGAGTGGACACAGCGGGGCCCCATGGCCCCCAAGTTCACTGAGTTGGGGCCAAAAGAGACAAGACTCCTTCCTGTGGGAAGTGGCCTCCCCACCCAGACCTCCTCCAGGCTAGATGACACAGAAGGATGTCACAGTGAACGGTGGGTGCTCTGCTGGAGGCAGGGGTACCCCCAAAGCAGAGGCACAATGTGGCGGTGGGGGAGACTGGACCCAGCCCAGCTGGAGTTTGCTTTCCCCTAACCCAGGCACCCCAGGCCCTGGCGACAGCCGGCCATCCCCCCTGCACCCCGAGGTCTACCACACCTCACACAGCTGCCCTGAGTTCATGGGGGAGCCGACAGGGCAGCCAAAGTGCTGCAGGAAGTCTCGGGAGTTGGAGAGAGTGCCCACCACTCGGAAGCGGGCAGGGCTGTGGGGGTCGGTCACCAGCCCCTCGTGAGAGCTCTCTGGTGTGCGGACTGAGCACCACACCTGCAGGCCAGGACAGACATGGGGACACAGGGTGTGGAGCATGGAGCTATAGAAGAGCCACTTCAGGGGCACAAACCACCACGGCCTGAGCCCTCTGCTGTGGGGGCACAACCCACATCTCAGCTCCAAGGGAACGGCAGGAGCCCTCTGTCCCTAACTCTGTGAATGTAGGCAGCAGAGAAGCAGAGCCCCTCCTGGCTGTCACTGTGAGACAGAGCACTGGGGGACATCCTGCCTGAGCCCTTGCTGGGCCACTTACTTCATTCCTGGCAGTCCTGAACAGGCCCTTTGGTGTCCCCAAGCTTCAGTTTCCTCCTCCTCCCCCTACCCCACAGCAACAGGGAGAGGATTGAGGCCTGCTCCCACCTCTTCCCCCTCCAGCAGGGCAGCCCTGCCCTTTGAGATCTGCAAAATCCTACTGAAGACCTCTTCCTCCTCAGCCTGCTTTTGTGGGTTCTGGGCCTTCCCAACCCATCTCAACTTCAGATCCCAAATTCATCCCAACTTCAGCCCCATTTCCCAGCCCCTTCCCTGAATGCCTCCAGCTCCTACTAATGACATCCTGGAGGGAGCAGAAATACCTGGGCAAATCCCACAAAGAACAGCTGGTGGTTGGTGAGGCCCACAGCTGGCAGCTGCTGCTCCTCCCCATGCTTCCTCAACCACGCTTTGTATGCCTGGGGGAAGAGGAGGGACAAGTGCCCAGAGCCCACCCTGCCTCCCCAGCCCTTCACCCTGGGCTGCCGAGACACTCAGGACACTCACGTTGTAGGCAGCCTTCAGCCCCCCATTGTCGGCGATGTTCTCCCCCAGGGTCTGGCGGCCATTGAGCCTCTCCCCATTGACCTGGTACTGGTTGTACTGCTCTTCCATGCAGGCCGTGTGATTCTGGAAGGCTGCCAGCGACTCATTCTGCCACCAGGGCCTTAAGTTCCCTTCCTTGTCATACTCACGCCCTAAGGAGAAGTCACCTTGGTGGCTCACCAGATGACAGCTAGGCCCCCACCAGTGGTCCACAGACTCCAGAGCCCCCTGGGTCCACCCCCAACAGGAGACACAGGCTGGAGAGGACAGTTGCATGGGCCCTACCTTGGTCATCAAAGGCATGTGTCAACTCGTGGCCCATGACCACACCAATGCCACCAAAGTTCAGGGCCCTAGCAAGGGAGGAATGCTGAGTGAGGTCACGGTAGGGGGGTTCTGAATCCCCCCTCTGACTCTGCTCCTGGCTCACCCACTGGCCCAGGCCCAGGCACCCAGCCCCGCCTGCCTCAGACACACTTGGGGTGGTTGCGGGCATAGAAGGGGGCCTGCAGGATGCCGGCAGGGAAGACAATTTCATTCTTGGTTGGAAGGTAGTAGGCATTCACCGTCTGGGGGGTCATGCTCCACCTGCGGGAGGAAGGAGGAGACTAAAGCCCTGGACTCTCCAGGTCCCCTATTCCTGCAAGGGCCCTGGACCACCCACCCTGGGAGACCCGCCCACCTCCCCACTACCGCAACGGTCGAGGCTGCCCACTCTCACTGGTCTCGGCTGGGAGGCTTGTGGAGCTGGTCAGCCATCACCTTAGCAGAGAAGTTGTACAAATTCAACATGTTCTGGAAGAAAGAATCTTCGGAGACTTCATACTGTGGGGATGTTGGGAAATAAAAAGCAAGTGAGAACATGCTGGAGAAGATAACAGAGCCAGCTTGACTACTCACTGGCGCCTGAGACTCAGTTTTCCCAATTGTAAAATGGGAACAGAACAGTAGCTAATTGCCAATATTTAAAAAGTACTTATGTCGCAGGTACCATATGTATTTTTTAAGCATGCCGCCTTTTGTTCTCATAATAACCCTGTGAAGTAGATAGTGGGAGGAGGAGGAGGAGGAGGGTCATGGTTTGTGAAGGTACTGATATTATGGGTGGCGTTTTTTCTAATTAATTTTGCAGACAGAGAAACCGAGGCCCAGAGAGGTCTTGTCCAAGGTTACACAGTTAGTTAGGGGTAGAAACATAACTCGACGCAAACCCGCCTCCGAGCCCCGCCTCACTAACACTGTATTTGACTGCCATCCGGCTGCAGCCTGTCCCATAGCCTGCATCACCAACAAACATCTCCTGCCCTTTCAGTGTTGAGCCCCGAGCACTGAGGCCACGGGAAGCCCCCGCCATTGGGCTGAAGGTCAGCACTCACCCCGTCATAAACATCATCCAGCTCCTTAGGCTCCAGGATGAAGTCGGGGAAGCCAATCATGTCGTAGATGGTGTCTGCCTGAAGAGACCGGGCGAAGGGTTCCCTTCCCAGCTCCCAGCAAAACGCAATTCCCCATCCCCACCTCCAGATGGCGCGCCAGCCACAGCCACCGCTTACTTTCTCCTTGGCTGCCTGCCGGGTCTTCTCGTCCATCCAAACCAGCTGGTCCAGAGCCTCTTCAAAAGCAGAGCGGATTTCGCTGATCATCCCCTCCGCCTGAGAGAGAGAGGCTAAGTCAGCCTCCTCCTGCACTTGCTGTCCTCCGTCCTGCTCCTCCATGCACCTCAGAGCCCATCCCTATCCCGTCCAGACTCATGAAAAGGCTGAACGCCCTGAGAAGAGAAGGAAAGCCAAGCACAACAGCACACACCTGTATCTCAGCACTCCGGAAGGCCGAGGCAGGAGGGTTGTGAGCTCGGCCCGGGCAATTTCGCAACTTAGAAAAATAAAATTTAAAAAAGTAGGGCTGAGGGCTGGAAATGTAGCTCAGCTGCACAGCGCCTGCCTGGCAAGCGCAAGGCCCTGAGTTCCATTCCCTGTACCAAAAAAAAGTGGCGCTGAGGATGTAGCTTAGTGCAAGGACCCTGGGTTCAACAATCCCCAGTACTGCAAGGAGGAGGAGGAGGAGGAAGAGGAAAAGAATGCACTGTTTGTGAAGGTATTGATATCATGGGTGGCTTTTTCTCTAATTACCAAAAATTTTAATTGGCAATAATATGATTTAATATAATACAATGATTTTTATTTGACTATGAAAGCACTAAGAAAATTTGGAAAATTGAGACGAAGAATTGAAGAAGAAAATAGACAATTTATAATCCAATCACTGAGATAACTTTTTTTTAAGTGAGAGAGGGGCTTGCTATGTAGTCCAAGTGACCTAGAATTTGCAATCTTCCTGCCCCAGCCTCCCAAGTGCTTGGATCACAGACATGTATCATCACATCCACCTTCTTTTAATGTTTTGATTATCTGCTTCTAGCGTTTTCCCTTGCCCGGGTATATACATTTAAAATAAGGAATTATTTTGTGTAACATACTTTTTTTTTTTTGGCGGGAGTGGAGATTAAACCTAGGCCCTCAAAAGTTAGCCAAGCACTGTACATATACCCGTTTTTAAAATTTATTTTTGGAAAAAAATAAAATAAAATTTATTTTGGGGGGGCTGAGATTTAGCTCAGTGGCACAGCACTTGCCTGGCAAGCACAAGGTCCTGAGTTCGATCCCCATACCAAAATAAAAATCGTGACCCTCCTATCTCAGCCTCTGGAGTGTTGGAATTACAGCCATGTACCACTAAGCCTAGTTCTTACTTTTACTTTTCCTTTTTTTTTTTTTTTGGTACCAGGGACTGAACTTGGGACCTTGCACTTCTGAGGCAAGCGGTGGAACCACTGAGCTAAATCCCCGACCCCTTACTTTTACTTTTGAGACACAGTTTTGCCAAGTTGATCAGACTGGCCTTGAATTCCCAATCTTCCTGCCTCAGCCTCCAGTCCAGAGTAGCCATGGGCCAGACCTTCTGGATTAAACTACCTTTTATTTTATTTTTTTAAAATTTGAGACCTTGTTCAGTGGTTCTAGCAGGGGCGCGCAGCTACTCGTATACCCTTTCCTCCTCCTCTATCGGGGGTGGTGTTCTCTTGGACCCAGGGCACAGCTTTGGGAGGGATGCACATGGAGCAGTGAGGGAGGAAGGGGACACCCGCCTAGCCAGCAGGATCAGCCCAAGCCGCCCTGGCGATCAATGGGGTGGCAGATGTCGCAGCCACATCGCCCTCACGTCCTATTTATTTTTTAGGGTTTTTTTTGGTACCGGGGATCAAACACAGGTCCTTGTGCTTTCGAGGCAGGCAGCGGAACCACTGAGCTAAATCCCTGGCCCTCACATCCTATTTTTAAATTTAGAAACAGACCTTCAGCCAGGCGTGGTGGTGCTCACTTGTAATCCCAGCCACTGAGCCTGAAACTGGAGGATCTGGAGTTCAAGGTCAGCCTGGGCCACTTAAAGAGACCTTGTCTCAAAATTAGAAAGGGCTGGGATTGTAATTTGGTGGTAGAGTGCTTGCCTAGGACAGGACGTGCAAGGCCAGAGTTGGATTGCCAATACCACGAAAAGAAGGGAAAAAAAGTTCAACTTAAAAGCTGCCTCATGGGCTGGGGATTTAGCTCAGTGATTCTGCCGCCTGCCTTGCAGGCCTAAGGTCCCAAGTTTGATCCCTGGTACCAAAAAAAAAAAAAAACTGCCTCATTATCCATCCTAACCTCCATTTGTTTTTCCTTTACCCACTGGTAGGGCACTGAAGCTGTTTTTATTTCCCCTGTTATAAACAACATTGTTACAAACACCCTTGTGGCTGGGCACAGTGGTGCATGCCTGTATTCCCAGGTACTCAGGAGGCTGAGGCAGGAAAATGGCAAATTCTAGGCCAGCTTGTACCATTTAGCCAGACCCTGTCTCAAAATAAAGAATAAAAAGAGCTGGGGACATAGCTCAGTGGTAGAGCACTTGCTCGGCATTTGTGAGTCCTCAAGCCCCATCCCCAGTACCACACATGGAAAACCAAAAAGCCATGTGGATAAGACTGTAAGCACAACCATTATCATCTCCTAATAAAATATTATTTTTCCTAATTACACAGATAACAAACTCATTGTAAAAACATTATAAACTTGAAAAGTCAAAAAGTCCTCATAATCCCACTGCCCAAAGCAACAACTGTCTATTTATGGGTTTCCTTTCAGTTTTTTTTCTATATGAACAGTGAATTTTGGATAAATCGAAGGACTGGGTTGGCAGAAGCCCGAGACTCACTATTTCCTTGCTTTGTCGGTCAAATGTGGCTTTCACAAAGAGCGACCCGAGAGCAAAACCCAGGGCATCATCCGTGTTGGAGATACAGGTCTGCCACCGCGGCGTGCAGGACTGGAAAGGGACAAAGAGCCAGGCCCTAGAGACAGCTCTGTCGTCTAGTCTGGGGCCCCGCTCAGCTCTGGACCACGCAGGCTGGGTGTGGATGCCGGCTCTCCCTCGGACTCCAGCGAAGACCAGGGTGATGTCACCCACCAGCTCCCACTCTACCCTCAGCACTCTCCTCCTCCTCCTATGTTTCCGGAAGTTTCTCTGCCCCTCTGTACAACTCAGGCTCGTGTCCAGTTGGTCCTCCACGACAGAAACCCGGGTGCTGTCGCATCCTTTTCCACCTCCCTCGCCCCCACTTCAATCCGCCTAGTGTTTACCAACTCTACTTCTTCGTCGCTCTCCTGTCTACCTCGTCACCACTTCCTCGCCCCACAACACCATCACCTCTCGTTTTTATTAGTGCACATGGGCTGTACTGAGTAATGGGCTCCAGCGTGTCGTTTTCATCCATGTAGATGACAGACCCTTGTACACACAGGGACCCTGTAACACCTCCGGCAGTTACCTCCCTTACCCTACATCCCTCCCTCTTCCCTAACCATCTTCCCCTCTACTCTCATGTCTTTTTATTCCCCCTCTAAATTTCACCTAGGAGAGAAAACATACAATACTTGTCCTTCTGAGTCTGGCTTCCTTCACGCAGCATGATGGTCTCCAGTTCCACCCATGTTCCTATAAATGATATGCTTTCTCTCCCTGCTGGCTGAATAATAACCCATTGCAACACTATCATCTCCTGCTGAAGACTGCAGTTGCCTCCTGACTACAGTCTGACTCTGTTCCCATGCCCTTCCCCTGCTGGTCCTCTCCAAAAGGATCATTTCAGACATGACCTGACTCTGTGACTGCTCTCTTGAGGTCACACCCTGGTTCCCCCTCTGTAAAATAAGGCCAGACTTTTAACGCAGCAGTCAGGTCCCTGTCTGGATGCTCTGCCCACTTTACCAAACTCAGCCTCTGTCTTGGGCACCGCCTACCGGAACTCCTGCAAAGCCGCCACGTCCCTTCCAGCCTCTGGATGCACGCGTGTGCTCTCCCTTCTGGCAGGAATACCCTTCTTTTTTATATTGCTTGGAGAACTCATTCTTTTTTTTTTTGGTACCGGGGATTGAACTTGGGCCCTTGTGCTTGCTAGGCAGGCAGTGGAACCACTGAGCTAAATCCCCGGCCCAACTCATTCTTCAAATACTTCTTCCTTCTTCTCTTCCTTCTTCTCCTCTTTCTCCTCCTTCTTCTCCTCCTTCTCCTTCTCCTTCTCCTCCTCCTTCTCCTTCTCCTACTCCTTCTCCTTCTCCTTCTCCTCCTCCTTCTCCTTCTCCTACTCCTACTCCTTCTCCTTCTCCTTCTTTTTTTGGTAACGGGGATCGAACTTGGGTCCTTGCACTTGTGAGGCAGGCGGGGGAAACACTGAGCTAAATCCCCGACCCCAAATGCACCTTCTTAAAGAAACCTGTTCTGATGCTGTCCCCACCTCTGTCCTCCCTCACTTTTCAAAATTTTATTTTTCATTTGGGGATGGGGTCTCACTAATTTGCTAAGATGACCAGGCCATCCTTAAACTTGCAGTTCTCCTGCCTCAGCCTCCCAAGTACCTGGGATTACAGGTATGCACCACTACACTCAGCTTACCTTTCTTACCTTTTTTTTTTTTTACCCCGAGACAGGGTCTCACTTTGCAGTTCAGGCTGGCCCTGAACTCACTATGTAGTCCAGGCTGGCCTCAAACTTGTGACAATCCTCCTGCCTCAGCCTCCCAAGTTCTGGGATTATAGGTGTGCACCACCAAGCCTGGCTGTCCTCCCTCACTTAATGGGCATCTTGAAATGAAGGTAGCATGCACGCGTCCTCTTCATCCTCCCAGATGCTAAGTGCCTACGTATACCACTCACGGAGTAGGGGCCCTAAGCTAACCTGGAGGATCCTCAGGCCAACCCTGCTTCACAGACAAGGAAGCAGGGAAGAGAGGAACGGAAGATGAATGCTCCAGGCCCCGAAGGCTAAAAACCAAAGGTGTTGAGACTGGAACCAGGACAGCTTGGTTGCAAATTCTGTGCTGTGCAACTTGCACCTGGGCACCTGGAGGCAAATGGTGCTTGGGCCGGGGATTTATCTCAGTGGTTTCCCCACCTGCTTGCAAGCCCAAGGACCCAAGTTCGATCCCCGGTACCAAAAAAAAGAAAATGGTGCCTGGCACCCTGGAGATGGGTGGCACTAGCTAGGGTGGGTCGGAAGGCGGGGGCAGAGCTGGGGAGCCCACCTTCTTGGTGCCGTAGAGGGTCTCCAGTAGCTTCTCTTGTGCAGACTCAAAGCGCCGGTCCAGGCTTGCGGTTGTTTTCTGCACCAGGTTCCAGATCAGGTAATTGTTCAGGACACTGACATCCACACAGGGAAATAAGGAAAGGGCAGGTGGGGTGCCTTCTCCCTCTCCTGCACAACTGGCCCTAGGAACACCCATGCAGGTGGTAGGAGTCCTGGGAGGCTCATGTGGAAGCCAGCCTGGAGCTCCTCTCACCCTGGGACCAGACATCTTCCTGCAGAATCAGCTTCAAGCAAGGAGTAGAATTGGAGATCACAAAGGGCACCCTGAAATTCTAGCCCGGCAGCCTCATTTGATGTTTGGAAGGCCCAAACCTTCTGTCTGGCTGTGCCAGTCCACTGTGCCCAGTCCCTGCCTGAGCCCAGAGCCCTCCTTCCCCTGCATCTTGGGGTTCCCCTCACCTTGGTTCCGTGTGGTTGATGAGGTCTGATACCTGCTGCAAATAATTCGTGCCATACACAACTACTGGCTCAGAGTCACTCAGCTCCAAGGGCGACAGCAAGAAAGACAGGAACTCGAGCCAGTCCACGGCGGGTGCCAGAGCCTGAGAGCAAACAAACTCTCAGGCTTCCTCCCAGCCAGCTAGGCTTCCCACACTCCCCTCCCCCATGGATATGCTGTAGCCCGTGAAGTCCTTCGTTGCCATGGCAACAGCTACAGGGTGCTTGGTGACTCCTTCCTGCAATAAACCCTTTCCCAGGCCTGTGGGTCCCTCGATCTTGGAGCCCAACCACTTACTATAATGAGGGAAATCACCAATTGTGATACTCAGCCGCACCACAGATATCCAAATATTTTCTTAACAGTTGATAAAATACCACTCCCCTGACACTTCCCACATACCTGGCCTCTCCTCCCTTCCCTAACCTCTCAGTAATCCAGCACCCAAAGGGGCAACTCTTGGCACAGGGGGAGCCTCCTCCAGAGATACTTCCATATCCTTTCTGGGTTTTTGTTGTTATTGTTTTGGTTTTTTGTGTGGTTTTTTTTTTTTTTTTTTTGGTACTGGGGATCAAACTCAGGACCTTACACTTGCCAGGCAGTCACTGCGTCACTGAGCTACATCCCCGGCCCTCTGTTTTTTGTTTTGTTTTATTTCATTGAGATAGGGTTTCACTATGGAGCCCAAGCTGGCTACACTCCTCAACTTAATCTCCAATCTCAAACTCTAATCCTCCTGCCTCAGCCTCCCAAGTGTTTCGCCAAGTTGTTACAAATTTCGAACACAATCTTTCCATGAATCCACAGGAAACAAGCAACCAAAGGATGGTCCTGTGAGAGATGGCCTAAAATGACCACCATTTTTCTTTCCAGGACAGCAACAGCATAGCCAGGAAGCTCAGAAAAGCAGGAATATGAGGAACAAACCAGTTGGCTCAGACAGATGGCCTCAAGGGAAACTGGTGGCCCCTTGCCCAGCCCACCTGCAGCTCTGAGATGCTCATCTTGTGATAGATCTTCTCCTCATCTCGTCGTTGGTCCTGGGGCACCGTGATGTTGGCCAGCAGTGTCTCCAGCTCCAGCACCTGCCGCATTTGCTCCCGGGTGGAGGCCAGCCGTCCACCCAGCAGCAGCCCCAGCTCCTCCATGTAATCCAGGTAGGCAGTGAGCACCTGCAGAGAGCCCTCATCCTCAGAGCCCAAGGCTGAGGTCTGTTCAGGCTCCACCTCTGCCCCCAGGCTTTTCTATTTGACCTTCCTTTGGAAGCCTTCCTGGGTGGCCCCATTCTTACAGCTGTCTGCTCTGTTCTGGTTACGCATTTGTGCACTGACTTGCCATCTACTTCCCTCAGGACAGCACTGTTCAAGTTACAGCAGCTGCCGAGTTCGATTCCCGATCCCCGGTACCAAAAACAAACAAACAAACAAGTTACAGCAGCTGTTGACCCCTGGATCCCAAGGCCCTCAGCAGGCCAAGCACAAACTCTGTTCTCTGTAAGTACTGTCCAGCAGGTGTTTCTGCTTCCCAGACTGCTTTGCCTTCTCATTTCTCTGAGCCTTTCTGGTTGTCCCAGCCCACTGGCGGCTGTGAACAGCTGACCAGGTCCCATAGGAATCTGGCTCCCCTGCAGCCTCAGGCCCTGCTGCCTCTCATCCTGCCTGGCCTCAAGCCTGCTGCTTTCTCCATTGCCCTCTGCTCCAAGGGGGAGAAATGCACAGAAAAGAAACAGTGAGTGACAACTGATGTGCGCACAGATCGGGCTGCTAGGAAGATACCTATGACACAGCTTCCCATCCACCCCCCCAGCAATGACAGCAAGGGGCTGTCAGCCCCATTTCACACCAAAGGAGCGGCTGGGGAAGGTGGTGAGGCTGGATTCCTATCACAGACGCTCGCTTGAGCTCCTTGAGAACCAGGCTGTTTTGCTTTGATCACCACTGCACAGTGTCTGCCACACCAGGACGCTTGATTTGAGGAAAGGAATGAAAACGTTCGAACAGACCCTCAGCTCCTCGGGCCCTCTCTCAGAGAGCCGGCCTTACCCTACACACAGCCCCCAAGGCCATCTCCCCCCCCCCCCACTTCACTGAAACGTTTTATTACCTGAACATCAAGTGTCTGAAGGGCAAACTTTCTTTTCCCCAGGCTCTCCTCTTTCTTGTTGTTGATGTCAAGGGAAGGATTTTTTTTGTTTTCACAGTCCTGGGGATTGAACTCAGAGCCTGAGTTCACACTGTGCTACCTCTTCAGATCTTTTTAAATTTTTAAAAATGTGGACAATGTCTCACTAAGTCTAAGTTATCCAGGCTGATTTGAACTTGTGATCCTCCTGCCTCAGCCTCCCAGAGTGCTGGGATTACAGGCGTGTGCCATTGTGCCCATCGAGGAAGAGGTGAGTACCAACCCCAGTCATCCCAGCTCCTGAGGGGGATGGCTCTCAGCCCAGCGACCTCACAGGAGCCCTTTCCCTACCTCCTCACCTGCAGCTGAAGACTTACTTCTGAGACTTCCGGAAGCCTCTGCACTCCTGGCTTTTATCCTATCTTAACCTTCTGCACCGCACCCTCCCCTGGATCCTGGGGGAGGCTTCCTGCCCCAGACGACCAGCAGCAGCCAAAGCCAAGGCTTTCCCAAGTGCTGGTGATGTGGCTCTCCCTGCCCTCTCCTCTCCCCTGCGCCACACAGGTGATGCTAAAGTCACATATCTGTTCGTACCACTTTGGCGTTTCTTTCCACTGTTGGACAGTTAGACCCTAACCTGACCCACAAGGTGCATGTCACAGGGGCCTCCTTCCCTGTCCAGGCACGTGGTCGCTCTCCCTCCTGCTCCCTGTCTCCCAGCATGTCCATGGGTCGTGCCCCTTCCTGCCTCAGAGGCTTTGCGAAGCTGCTCCCTTCCCTGTAGCGGACCCTGGCCCTTGGCTCTAGGCTGGTTCCTCCTCAGACACATGCTGGGGACCCCAGGCCTCTCCTCTAGCACAGTCCCCACAGCAGTGAACAGAACTCTGTGTGACCAGCTCACTCAGGTCTCCTCCATGTAGGGGCAAGGGCAGTATGCTGTTCACAAGCTGAGAGGAGGGGCTGGCTGAGGCATGCTCAGGAAAGGTCGGCAAAGGATCACAGAAGGACAACCGATGCTCCGGTTGTCCTACTCTGTGGCACTCTCCTTCGTTGACACTTTCTCCCACTGCCCTTAAACACAAGGCTCTCTCCTTTCCTGTCTTTTCCTGCTTCCTGGCCTTTGTCTTGGTTTCCAGGAGATGACACTGAAGCCTCAAAGCCTCGGGCTGCCTGCACCTTGTCCTCTCCACTTGGCTTTCCAGAAGAGGGAAGCTCCCCAGGCCCTCGAAGGCACACGTCTAAAATGATTGTCTGCCACATACACTTGTAGCCCACACCCCGAGCCCTATAGGAGCTGGAGGCTGCAAGTCCCCTTTCATGGGTGAGGAGCAGTCTCCAGAGACCCATCCACCTGCACGGAGCAGCACAGCTGACCCTGGGCTCCCGGGAGCTGCTCACTGCTCACCCCACTCCTGCAATGGCTCTCTGAGGGCCAGAACCCCTTGGCATTCCACATCCCCTCTAGTACCCTTGACCACCCTTCTGGCACCCACTTACTTCTTTTTGTACTGGGGACTCAAATCCAGGGGTACTCTGCCCCTGAGGCACATGCATTCCCATCCCTTTTTTTTTTTTTTTTTTTTTGGTACTGGGGATC